TTTGTTTGTTGAGGTGTGTGAGCTCTTTATATATTTTGGATGTCAACTCTTTATTGGATCTGTCATTTACAAATATATTCTCCCATACTGTAGGGTACCTTTTTGTTCTATTGATGGTGTCCTTTGCTGTACAGAAGCTTCTCAGCTTGATATAGTCCCACTTGTTCATTTTTGCTTTTGTTTTCCTTGCCTGGGGAGATATTTTCATGAAGAAGTCACTAATGTTTATGTCCAAGAGATTTTTGCCTATGTAAAACAATGTTTTTTATAAGAATTTTTTTTTCCCCAGATTCTTCACTATTTTGTTTGTAGACTTTGGAATTATGCTGATTTAAGTTACAGTTATGCCTTTGTAGCTAACCTAGATGGTTACTTAATCTCATCAAACCTAAGTCTCCTCACTGGTAGAACAGGGAATTATAATTGTACTCACTTCAGTAGGGTGATTGTGAGGTTTAAATTGGGCTAAACATTGAGCAGAATATTCATAAGCATCTAATACAGTGCCTAGCACATGGGAAGTGTTTAAAAATAGATTGCTATGAAAAGCAAGAAGAGCTATTATATCAAGAATGGCCCTCTTAATGTATAGCGCTTAAAACTGAATACCAGAAGGCCTCACTTGGTGGAGTGTAAGATTTCCACCTCACATGACTTAGATCCTAAATTTCTTCAGTGTAGCCTTGTTAGAAATTTCATGTCACTTTGGGTTCATATTCAGCTCTAGAATGTTCAGATTTTTTTCCCACATGATCAGCTGCCCTGTCAAGTTGTTCTCAGCCTGAACCTGTACAGCTGGTTCTTTAAACCTATACCCAGTACTTCACAGCCATCTCTGTTGTTTTCATCATGTTGATTCAGTTGAGCATTCCAGCTTGCCAAGGTAGTTTTGGATTTGAGTCTCATCTATGCCTTTAATGAAACTCCTTCAGGCGGGCCAGCGCCTCTCTGGTATGTCCCTATGAGTCTTTGAGTGTGTCTTTGCCTTCTGGTATAAGAAGATATCCCAGGATCACCTTGTGCTTTCCCTGACCCAAACTTGGAAGTTGGTAATTTCTCCAGGTGGCCATGGTTCCTTTTAGTGGGGAATGGTTTTTAGAAACCAAGATCTGGACTCTAGGCTGCTGCTCATTCCTGCTGGCATGTCTCTGTTTCCAGATACTTTTAAGTGATGAAGCTAGAATGTGGTACAGACAGACAGTCAGAAAGGTATTGATGTATTTTTATTTCTAATTTAAAGTTAATTATGGTAGGTTTGTTTCTTCCTTGTTCCCATATTTTTATGTCTTCTCTTCCACTGAAAGTGTGTATGTTGTTTTATATTTGTCAAAGTGTATTTAGGGCAGAGTCTTACAAATGGGTTAGCCATGTCACAGGGTAAATGTATCTCTAATTTTGTTAGGTTTTGCCAAATTGCGCTTCATTGTGATTGTGCCATTTTGCATATCTGTCAGTAGAATGTGAAAGTGCTTCTTTTTTCCCCAGACTCACCAACCAGATTGTGTTTGAACTTAATTGCTTTTGGTTTTTGAGTTGCACTTGGAAAGACGTTTCCCTCTTCCAGATTATGAAGGAATTCCCCAATGTTTCGTTTTAGAGTTTGGGTTGTTTCACTGAGGTCTAGTTTTATCTTTTACCAAATGGAAAATAGAAATGTCTGTCTTTTCTCTGGTGATTTGAAATGTAATTTTAATCATACACTGTACTTGGTTCTGTTTCTTCCATTGGTCTTTCTTCATGTTCTGTCATCACTTCCACCCTGTTTTCTATAGAGAGGTTTTATACTAGGTCTTAATATCTATAAGGCTAAGTTCTCTCAGAGCTTTTCTTACGTGGTTTTCCTGGCTCTTCCTGAATTTGTTTTTTCATATGATCTTTAGAATTAGCATGTTTAACTTCAGGATAAATAACCAATTGATAGTTTTATTCAATACATGTTAAGTTTTATATGAACTTTATGGTGTTTAATTGTTCTATCCAAGAATGAAATACTCTAAGTTTTTATTCCTGGGTGTATTTCATCTTTTTTTTGCTGCTATGGTAAGTGAGATTTTCTCTTCCATTATATCATCCGACTGGATATTGTTTGTGTATATGAAGTCTATTGATTTTTCTGCTAATTTGAATTATTTTGTTGTTGGTAGTGATTTTTATTTACCTTCTTGGGTTTTCAGGTGTTTCTCAAATTACCTGAAAATTAAGATAGTTTTACCTCTTCCTTTCCAGTTTGTTTGCCTGTAATTCTTTTCCCTTCTCTGATTACATTAGCTGATACCTTCAATTCAATAATAATAATGGAGCTAGAGGGCATTTTTGCCTTGTTTCTGACTTTAGGGAGAGTTCCTTTAAGTGATTCCTCTTTAAATAAAATGCTATATTTGTGGCTGAGTTGCATATATATTTTATCATGTTAAGTGTCTAATTCATTACTTTTTTGTTGTTGTTTTTAATCAGGAAAAGGTGTTAAACAAGCTCTGAGGTAGTATTACAAGTTGGGTACCTAAGGACCAGATGCTGATATAAAGTAGATGATTTCTGTCCTTTACCAAGCTAAGACTTCAATTTGTTCTTTAACTCCTTTCTATATACTTTACAGTTTGAAGACAGTTCAGTCTTTCTTAAAAAACTGGAATGCAGAATCGGAGTTGAGTAATGATACCTTGGTTTTAAAGCCTACCATATTCAAATAACTCAAGCTGACTCCAGACTTTGTGTTGTGAGTCACACAGGTTTGGAAAAAAGTAGCAATTCTAGTTCTGTTGAGCTGGTGCAATACTCATTCCTTCTCAGTTTCTCTGTTAAAGAAATGCAGATCCTGTTTTAATATATTCTAGGGGATGAAGTATATTCTTTGTATCCTTTAGTCTTTTCAGTTGTGTCTTTTTCATCCTTTTTACCTCTTTATTCTTTTAGTATTGAGATATATTTTCTCAGTATTTTTTGCAAACTTTGTTCAAAAATATTTTTCTTAATTTATAAAGGCTTTCCTCTTGCTCTCATAATTTTTCCATTCTTAAGTCTTTATACATATAAAGGAATATATATATATAGCATATTTGTAAGAGATAAAAGATAATAATATAATGAATACCAGTAACTTAGCACCTAACCCCAAAATTAAAAATCTACCCATAATTTCTATCTTGTGTTTTGCTCTTCCCCATCCCATCCCGTTTATTCCCTTTACTAACTTCATTCTCTTGCTTAAACAGAAAGTACCTTTATCATATCACTATAAAATATATTGCTTAGTTTTGCATGTGTTTGAGCTGGTACAAATGAGGTCATATTTAATGTAGTCTTTGGGGGTTTGCTTTTGTTTAAAATAATAGCTTTGTTGAAATATAATCCTCATACCATACAATTAATCCCTTTAAAGTATACAGTTCAGTAGTTTTAAGTATATTCACAGAACTGTGTAACCATACCATACTCAATTTTAAGAATAGTTTCAACATTTGCATCACCCTAAAAAGAAGTCTCCATCTATTAGTAGTTACTCCCTCATTTTCCTGTCTAGCCATAGGCCATCACTAACCTATTCTATTTTCTGTCTCTGTAGATTTGTCAATGTTGGAATTATATAATATGTGGTCTTTTGTCACTGGCATCCTTCACTCAGCACAGTTTTTTCAAGATTCATCTGTGTTGTAGCATGTTTCAATACTTTATTCCTTTTTATGGCTGGATAATATTTCATTGTATAATACACCACACTTTGTTTATCCACTCATCAGCTGGTGGACATTTGGGTTGTGTCTACTTTGGGCTGTTATGAACAATGCTACTGTTAACATTCATGTACAAGTATATATGTGAACATATATTTTCATTTCTTTTGGGTATAAATCTTAAAGTGGAATTTCTGGGTCATATGGTATATTAGTTAGGGCAGGCCAGCAAGCTGGAAACTCAGCCAAGAGTTTAAGTTGCAGCCTGGAGTCTAAAATCTGTAGAACAGCTGGCAGGCTGGAGCCCACTCAGGATTTCTGTTACTGTCTTGAGACAGAAACCCTTTTTCTCCAGGAAACCTTAGTGTTTTGCTTCTTAAGCCTTCAGTTGTTTGGATGAGGTATGCCCGCGTTATTGAGGTAATTTCCTTTAAAATAAACTGATTGTAAAAGTTAATCATATCCATAGACTGTCTTCACTGCAACATTTAGATTAGGGTTTGACCAAACAGCTGGATACCACAGCCTAACCTAGTTGACTCTTATAATTAATTATCACATATGGTAATTCATAGCCCTTTGACAAACTGCCAGGCTGTTTTCCAAAGCAGCTGTACCATTTAGATACCCACCGATGATATATGAAGATTCTGATTTCTCCACATCCTTACCATTATTTGCTATTTGTCTTTTTTATCTAGTCATCCTAGTGTGAAGTGGTGTCTCATAGTGGGGATTTTGTTTTTAATTTAATATTATGTTTTTAAGATTCATCTGTGTTGTCACATGTAGCTGTTCATTCATTTTCACTATAGTATAATATTTACCATAACTGATTGAGTCTTCTCTTGATAAATAATTGAGTCAGTTTTTTGCTTTTATAATAAAATATCCTTGTACGCTATACAAGAGTTTCCCTGGATAATATGTATATTTATAGGAGTGGAATTGCTGGTCTATAGGGTATATGATACCTGAGTTCACAAGGTACGGCCAATGTGTTTTTCAAATGGTGCCACCAGTTCGCCTTCCCACTATTAGTGTATAAGACTTCTGTCTCTCACTGCACATTTCCCCGCCACTTGGAAATATCAGACCCTCTTTTGCCAGTTTTATCAGTTTCTCAATCTGCATTTCCCTGATAATTAATGAGGTTAAGCATATTTTCATGTGTTTATTAGTCATATGTTGCTTTTTAAAAAAAAACGCTTCTCTTCATATGTTTTGCCCACATCAAAAAAGTAGTTCATTTGTCTTATTGATACATGCAGATTCTTGATATATTTTTTATGTTAACCTCATATCAGTTATATGTGTTACAGATGCCTGGTTCATTTTTTTCCTTTATGGTATCTTGATGAACAGAAGTTATTGATTTTAATGTAATTCATCATTAATGCTACAGTTTATACTTACTGTCCTCATAAAAAAACATAGAAGTTTAACCATATCATTCTGTGGCCAAGCACGTTTGTTCTAATTTTTCTCCCATTCTTCAAACAATTAGCTTGTCAAACTCTATAGGGATTATTTCTCTGTATGTAGTATTTTTTTTTAACTTTAAACATGTCTTATATATATATCATCTATACTTAAGTCAAAAAAATAAAAAGAATAAACTAAAAAACATGCCAAAGAATGGAAAAGATTGAAAAAAACATTACAAACTGGCTCATACTTAAGGACTATTTTGTATGAACAGCATATTTACGTACTTAAATTTGGTTGGTGAAATATTCTACATCTCTTCTAGATGGCAGATGATAATAAATACATTATCGTGTAGTGGTCTGCCCACAATGTATTCATTCCTTCTGTTACACAGCTTATATTAATGAGAGAACAGGGCACACGTTTAAGAGAGGCTCTACTCTGTCTTAAGCCATGAGACACAGAGACAAATGAGAAGATACTTGTTTAATCTTGACTTAGGAAGAGGACCACTATGCCCGGGTGGAGGAGGCCATCACCCGCATGCTTGTGTGTGTGCTGAAGACTGCAGAGGACCCACACAACACCAGAGCTTGGTTGAACCCCACCGAGGTAGGCCGCTTCTGGTTTTTATCATGCCAGGTGCTTTCATGTGATATACTGACTGTGGCTAGAACATTTGTTTTTCAGTTTACGTAAGTACAGGTAACCATTCTAAAGGGTTTTTCTTTTTTCCTTAGGTTGAGGAAACATCCCATGAAGTCAATTGTCACTATTTAAATGGAGCTGTTTCTGCCTTTTTTGATCATTACAGAACATCTAAGGTAGAAATCCCAGCACTGAGAACAAAGAGAGAGTCCATGAGAAAGGAAGATTTAAACATGTGCAACCCCATGGAGGTGGAGCAAACAGGTAGCCAGAACTTGACCTTGGGAACAGAACTGGCGGCAGCAAGCCCGTTTGGTCCTGATCTGGTTCTTGTAGCACCGAGCTCTAGAGAACTGCCCTCAGAAAGAGGGGGTCTGCGTGAAAGTGATAGTAAAGACTTTGTCGGCAAAGGTGGAGAACACTTTGGAAAATCGGCTTGTACCAAGAAGCCACGAATGATGAGTGAAACTGAGGATGCAGTTGTGGAACCGATTGCTGCAGAGGGCACTATGGCCCCTTCCCAGACATGCATTTCCACTGATGACTTGCTGGACTGCTTGGTGAACCCGCAGGTAACCAGGCTGGTAGCACAACTTTTGATACAAAGAGAAAGTTTGTGATTCTAACAGAATATGACTTTTAAATAATATTTTTTAAATGTGTGATTGTTAAATAACAAGAGTAAAGCGTCCATGTTCACATGCTCATAAATGCCCTTGTTCTTACCTTACTAAGTTTCAGCCTTGCCTGCCTTCTTGGCCACATTGCTCTTTGGCCGTGCCACTCTGTTATTTGTCGGCCTCCTTTCTTCAGTACCTTTGCCTCTCCTCCCTCGCCTGAGCTTGTAGCCTGTCTCACATGGAACCCCTGTGAGTTCTCACCAGGAAGTAATTTCTCCATCAGCTTCCTACAAGGGTGTGCCTGCTGCTTGTTTTGTAAATAAACTTTATTGGCACACAGCCATGCCATTCATTTACATATCATCTATAGCAGCTTTAGGGTTGCAGTGGCAGAGTTGATTAGTGACAGAGACTGCATGGCCCGTAAAGCTGAAAATATTCGGTATCTATCCCCTTATACAAAATGTTTGCCAGCCCCTGGCCAAATGCATCCATTAGGTGGATTCTAGCCTTGATCTGAACACCTGCAGAATTCTCACTGGTTAACCTGTCCTCCAAAGCAGGGTATTAATCAGGAGAAAAGTAGGCGGGGGTCCAGTATGAGGCCTCCTTATGGAAGAGCCTGGGACATCCAGAACACCAGACCTGGGAATAAAAAGCCAGATGTTACTGATTCCTGAAACTGACTAAAAGCTTGGTTTAGTGAAATTGATCCTATGCTTATTACATCTGGAAGAAGATCTGGGAGTAATTATTAACATTACTAAGTGAGAATTTTGAAATTAGAAATGCATATTTTGATCTCTGAGCCACCAGTCATGAAACAAATAGGTAACAAAAGATAACCAAAGTAAGCTTTAAAGATGAATTCACAACTGGCCCTATCCTTCTCAGTCTTCAGACTGCGGGTATCCCTACATGCAAAGAAAGTATGTGCCTCCTGGGAGACAGGGAAGGAGGAAGGAGGTTGTCGTGTTGCACATGCCCAGGAAAAGGAGTGTCTGAAAAAAACCCTTCTGTAGCACTTATCACCGCCTGACCTCTCTACATTTATCTGTTTATTTGATGATTATCTATCTCCTCAATCAGAATGCCACTCCATGAGGGTATGGGCTGTGATTATTGCTGAATCTGCAGAGCCTTTCATCAATGCCCAGCACTTGGCAGGTGTCTGTTAAATATTTGAGCAGATTATAAAAAGAGCATGTTGGCAGTATTCCATCAAATACTTTGGGGCAAAGGATGTTGTGGTCAAGGGTAAGATGTCTGTTACCCTTAGGTATATCCTTATTGCAGAAATATACATAAGCTTTTCTTCAGATACTTTATTTTTTATGTTCACTACTCCTTCAACCACTAGTTTTCAGATTGCAGATTGTAACTCACAAGTGAGTCATAAAATCAATAGTGATTAAGACTAGCATTTTTTTTAAAAAATGGAATAGAACAGGTGATTGCAGTGAATCCAGTAGTAACTGTAAGTATTACTTCATCAAATTTTTCAGGAAAAATATATTTTTCAGGGTAAGTTTATTTCATAAAGCTTTTCAGTTATAGCTGTATATGTGTATGGGCCTGATACAAAATGTATTTCTTACTGTAGGTTGGGGTCAGAAAAGTTTCAAAGGTGTTATGAGATAGAGGTAATAGTCTTTGACATGCAGAGACCTGGAAGAGAGTTAAGACATTGGAATATATGGATTTCTAAGTGTAAATAGGTGATTGGAAATAATTTCCTGATTTTATAGGAGTGGACATTATGACATAGCAGGAGACCCGGCTGTGTAAGGGGAGTGTGAGGAAAGAGAGACGGGGAGGCTGCCACCAAGATACCTGAATCCCATTTCGTCCTACATTTCTCAGCCAAGCATGCCTGAGTGAGTGAAATCACTTATTAAATAAATACACTGACCCTCCAGAGGCCAGAGGGATTAAAGAATACAAACTCATTATTGCATCTCAGTGTCAGCATCCATGCATCACAGGGACAGGCTATCCAGTAGGCACAGTGGCCAGGGCCCATGTGATCTCAGGGGCCCACAAAAATGATTTGTGTCTTTTAAAATCAAAAGATGAATATAATCCAGCCTCGATTACACTCATGTTTACATCAGCACAGTTGCAAAATATAATTTTTAATACTGTTCATGAACTAAGGATCCCACAAAGGCAAAAGTGCCTGGAGCCCATGAGAGTCCAAAGCGGCTGTGGTACCCGGGATGTCAGAATCGGTTGCAGAAAATGCAGGTGTCTGGGCACACTGTGGAGCTACAGAAACTGGCTCCTTTGGAATGGGCCAGAACTTGCTGTCTCAACAAACACTTCAGGTGATGCAAATACCAAAGTAGTTTAAGAATCTCTGGCCCTAGGGTAGACCACCAAGACGTATCAGTCTCCAAGTGGGCTTGTTTTAGAAGGGACCTCCAGTTGGCATCAACTGGCTCTTCACACTTACTAAACTAAACCTGTACTCTGCCCTTCCTTGTAATTTTCAGCCAAATACTGTTAATCCTCTGAGGATCCCTTGATGCTGTCATGTTTAGTCGTGGTCTTTTACAAGGATAAAGAAATTTACCCACCAAATGATATTTTCCAAGTATTTTATTCAAAAAGGAGGTATGTGGCATCCTCTTTAGATTGCGGTTGACTGTAACATTTACTGACTGCATCATTACACTTAGGTGCAGTACACGCTGATATTCCACTTTGCCCTACGTTAACCAGACCGCTGGAGAACAAGAACAGATTAGAGAGCAGGGGCTCTCCTTTCTGTTTCTTACATTGTCAAACCTGAGTTCAGATACCACTGGCAGGGAAGCCATTCTTGAGCAATAAGGAGTCTTTGACAGTCCACTTCAAAAATAAACATCAACAGCAAGAAAAATTTTAAAACGTCTGTGTTGAGGAAGCAGCAACTGGTTCCCTTAAACCTCCTCTACCTGAAGTGTTGGTGTAGCTCAGAGGAGCGACCCCTGGCGTCCAAGTGTGCCGTCGCAGCACATGGGCCTCGCTCTGGCCTCCTGGCCTACAGAGCTCCAAATGCAGAGACTCTACAGTGGCAACCAAGGCCAGGAGGGAAAAGCCAAGCAAACAGGAGGCTAAGTCGCAGAATGTCTGACGTATACCTTGTTCTAGAAGCCATGTTCTACAGGGAGAAGCAGCGGCTTGGTGACCCAGGTAGCAAGACTGTGTAGCTGACTCAGAGCTGCTATCGAGGGGAAGGAATAGAGAGAAAGGAAGTTTCTCGCACTCTGAGTATCATTTCCTTAACTTTAAAAGGGGATATAATTCCTACCTCACAAGATTATTTTGGGGAATAAAATAAGTACTGTGTGTGAAAGCACCTACCTGGCACAATGTAGGTGCTCAATAAATAGAGTTTGAATCTGAAATTTACCTGGGGAAGTTAACAAAGAAATTTAGCAAATTAGCAATATGACTGCTTAATTCCTTTGGTTTATTTATACACAAGGCTTTAAAATCATCAAAAGCTAGGCGGCCAATGAAAATATGCTACTTAGTAACCTTAGAATTCACTTAATGTTAACACACAGTAGAAGGGTGTCACACTGAAGATGGGGCAGGCATTGTCCCACCATTTTCACTGGGTGGATAAAAGAAGAATGCAGGTTTGGCTTCAAAATAAAAAGGACCCATTGGAGCCCGGGCTGCTGCACTGCACACCCCATGGGGCCCAATTCACCTAGACCACAAGCTAGACCACAGCTGGACTACAGTTTCACCGCCTGAAGGGCTGTCCCGTGTCGGGCTGCTTCAGGAAGAACCAAGTTCTCTGTTCAATTTAAGGTGAAGTCACAGTCAGTCAAGGATGGTGAAGACATGATTCCTACTCTGGATGGGAGTCTGATTAAGCCTTTCATTCTTTTTTTATTTATTTATTTATATTTTTTATTTTTTTAAATTTTAGTACCATTAATCTATAATTACATGAGGAACCTTATGTTTACTAGACTCCCCCCATCACCAAGTCCCCCCCACAAACCCCATCACAGTCACTGTCC